GGTGGTTTTGAACCACTGACCTTTTAGTTAGCAGCCAAATGCTTTAACATGAGAGCGCTTAAGAAAAATGACAGGTGAGCTAAATGGAAGGGTCGTACATCAAGGCCAGGTTGGGAAGACTCCAGACTAGAGGTGGTACCTCCCGGGGTTCAGTGTGATTACAGGGGCTTGTCTGAGGGGGCACAGGAAGGCCCCAGAATGGCAATGGATGCACCGAGGAAGGAGCCTGGCCCAGCCTGCTCACCCTACGACCTGTACCTGTGAGCTAACTGCAGTGACAGTGCAGCGCAGGGGAGAGACAGACGTCTGACCAGTGGTGGGAGCTGAGGCCAAAGCAGTGCGTGCAGGCTGGAAACTGACAAGGGCAGTGCACGTATCACGGCAAATGAGGACAGGCAGCCACAACTAGCACCGTCTAGGAAGGAGTGGGTCAGCTGGACGACATCACAATGTCAAGACAGGGAAGTCACAACCCTGGATGGGTCAGAGGTCAGACACAGCCAGCGCTGTCCAGGAAGGGAGCGGGTCAGCGCGACCACATCACGATGAAGGCCTTGTGTTCAACGGCAGATACCATCAAGCGAGGGAACAGGCAGCCTGCAGAAGGAGGGACATTTGCAGTATGTACCCCTCACATCCAGACACATGAAGAACACAGGCTGGTCAGAGAGAGTGGGCACACGACCCCCTGCATGAGTGCGTAAAGCATCTGGACCCAGACGAAAGACGACAGCCACCTGACGGAGACTGTGGAAGTGCCCGAACCTCCTTAGCCCTCAGGTAACTGCCAGTTAACATCACAACTCGATCCCCTAGACACCCTGGCATGCTGAACCCAAACCACGGTTTCTCCAGTTCTCTCATTGGCGTGTGGAAGCTGCGTGATGAAAGAGGAAGACTGGAGAATCGACGTGTTCACACTGATGGTGGAGATGAGTACCGAGCACACTGTGGATGCTGGGGAAACAGCACCCAGCCTCAGAGGAGACACGCCACAACGTTCCTCAGAAGCGGCGACAGCAAGGCTCATCGTTCTGATAACTGTGAAGACGGCACGGCTCCGGGAAACGCTTCACTCTGCTGGACGTGGGGTTGCCCTGAGGCACAGCCAGCCCAATGGCACTTGGCACCAACAACAGACATCCACGAGTGTGGTTGAAAAGGAAACGCTGGCAAACACCAAACGCTGGTGAGGCTGTGGAGCAACTGGAACGCCCGCATGCTGCTGTGGGCGTGACGGACGGCGTGGGCGTGACGGACGGCGTGGGCGTGACGGACGGCGTGGGCGTGACGGACGGCGTGGCCGTTTTGGGCAGCTGTACAGGCACTAGCTGTCAGTGCAGGCCGGCGCAGCAGTCTGTGGCTCCACGCCTAGACACAAACCCACCAAGGACACAGCCACACCAGGGCGTCCGATTCCCACCAACAGGCATCCACATGGATGCTCACGGTGCTCACTGAGTAGCCGCCGTCAGCAGAGCCTGGGAGCCGTGCCGCAGTGCATGTGATGGAGGTGGGAGCTGCGGCTGTATTCCACCCCCCAGGGAGTCCCCCAGCTCCCCACTCAGGGAAGGGGCCGACACGCCCATGGCCAAGGCAAGGGCAGGCAGAGCTGAGCAATGCTGCTTGAGAGCAGGACAGCGGGAACCCTCGCGTGTCAGTAGTGGGAGAGAACATGCAGGGCTCTGGGGAGGTTGTGTGGCCTCATTAGTTGGGGCTCCAGGAGCACCCCAACCCGCACCTTTGTGCCGTGTGCATCTATCTGTGTACACGTTATTTTTCAATAAGAAGCTTGAAGGTACATCCACAGGACAGTTGTCCCAACTCCCGGAGCATAAACAGAGATGGACAGACACCAGGGCCCCTGTAGGCCTTGTCCCCCAGGCCTCCAGACCCTGAGCCCAGGAAGAGTACCTGGAAGCTGCCGGGACCCCGACTGCCGTGAGTGTGTCTGTGACAGTATGAGTGCCATCTCCCACCCGTGTCCTACGGAAGCATGCGTTCCTGTGCCCCGTGTTCTCTGAGCCCCACCAGCCTCACCAAGAATGGCCCAGTGCCGCAGGGCTGCAGGCCGGAGAGCAGAGCCTGGCAGGGGCTGCGGTTAGGTGGACACTGTGTGAGGACCACGGCTGCTGCCCGGGGAGGGAGTTGGGGCAAGCCCCTTGTGCGCTGAAACCAGGAAGTGAGGCTGCAGCGATGGGGGCTAAGGGGCCACGGGGGCCGGCGCAGCTGTGCCGGCACAGGCTGGGAACGGGATCCAGGGCGTCCGATTCCCAGCCCTGGCTCTTTCCCACTGCGTCACTCTGCCTGGCTCCTGATTTGATTAGGGGAACATTTAATCCCCCGTGCAGTTCCGAGGCCGCCTGGCCTGTGTGAGGCTGACGAGCGTCTTGTGACTCACACCACTGCGCACAGGCCCCTGGGAGGCTCCCACGGGCCCCCCTTGGCACCTTGTGCAGACAGAGGTGGTCTTGAGACGGCAGGACAGGGCTCTGGAAGGACAGACGGGTCTCATCAGTTCTTGGCGAGCCCCGGCCCTGTGGCCTCATGGTATGTCCGTTCCCACCCAGGTCTGCAGGGCGAGGAACAGAGACGGGGCTTGGGCATGCCCGGAGGCACAGGCCTTAGCCCTGGGTGCAGGAGGGGCCCCTCAGGGCCCGTCCCATCCCAGTCCAAGTTCGGGTCCAGCCTGGGGTCATGGGGCCATCCTGGAGGGCGCAGAGCTGGCCCAGCCTGCTGACAAACGCAGAATTCAGGAGACGCTGGGACAGATCTGGACGAAAGCCAGACTCTCGGCCTCGCCGGAGCAGAGGAACCGGAGCTTCTGGCGTGAGATTCTGCAGGTCCGGGAGAAAGTTAAAGACGTGGAAACTCTAATTAACGCACGGGGCTGGTTTTGCTCAGGGATCAGCGTGCTGTCATGTCGCAAGAGGCCTGGCAGCTGCGCGGCCAAGGGGGCCCGGGCACCTGGGGGCCACGCAGCTCTCCTTCCTCACCATCCCACAGGGTGGGCCTGGGGTGGGGGCATCCATGGTGCCGTGACAGAAGAGACCCTCATGTAAGGGCCCACAGGAGACACCCAGCCAGTGGGTGGAGCCAGGCCACTGCACTGGCTGCCAAGCCTGGGTGTCCACGTGCAACCGCAGGGCAGCGGCTGGTGTCAGGGCAGGGCGGAAGGTGTTGGGGGCTTCGTGGCAGAACTATAGCTCCCTAGGCTGGAGGAGGAAGCATGCCCGGACCGCGCCCACAGGGCCCAGCCGTCTGACCCAGTGCCTGGCCCGCATCTCTCACTTCACCCTGTCCTTGGGCGGAGCAGGACAGGCTCTGCAGTCAGAGGGGGCAGGACTTGCACTTGGGGACCACCGAGGACCCAGGGAGCTGGGCCCAGAAGGTTGGAGACCCAGAGAGGATGTGCCACTCCGCCCACAGGCACCCAGGAGCCTCCCTGAGCAGACACTGAGCAGAAGTTTGACAGACAAGGAAACCCAGTGGTCACAGATGGCCATGGGCACTCAGATGGCGGGACACCACGTGGCTGGCACAGGGGCATCAGCCTTTTGCCCCTCATTCTCACCAATGACCCTTTGCAGGCAGAGGGCAGGGGCCCAAGAACCCCCACGGCCCCAGATGCCTGTGGGGGCCCTGTATTCTCTGCCTCATTGTGCACACGACCCTCAGAAGCCCCAGCAGGGCCCTTGGTGGGCCTGGACATGGTACAGGGAGACATGGCAGGACGGCGGGTACATCTGCCTGGTGGTGGCTGCGGGGCACCCTGCTCGCCCGGCACCCTCGCTGCACTGCTGGCCCCAGACAGGGGAGCTTCGCCCAGCCCCAGGGACCCTCAGTAATCAAGACTGTAGTGACCTCACCTCCTGGGGGCCCACAGGCGGGGAGCGCATGAGCGAAACAAAATGTGTCTATTTATGCTTTTAATTCGGATCTGGAACTGGCCCAGCGTGGTAATCCGTTTCACGTCAGTGAAATGCTGGGGACAAAGGCGCTGTTTCTAGTAACTGCCTCCCGACCATTCTGCCCCGGGGAGACCCCCGAGTCTGATCTGCTCTCACGGGCATGTACGCTTCGGGCGCGGGGTCCACTGCCAGCAAACAAGGTGGGGCGGTGCCTCTCGGATGCAGCCACGTTTCCCGGTGAGCGCAGTGGTGCCGCCTCTGATGCCCTCACACCCGTGGTACCGACCGACAGCACCGTGACACGCGCAGACCGGCATCTACCTTTGGAGCTGACCTCTTCCCGGCCCCACCCACCTGCTCATCCTCCAGTCCACCGCCAGATTCCCCCAGAACAGGCCCGGCAGCGAGGCATCCACTCCTAGGCACTGGCTGGAGATGTGCATCCCAGTGAGCCTGGCTCCCTCTGAGCCCAAGAGTGCTCCTGTCTGCGCTCTGCTCACTACGGAGCACCACCAACCACCCCATGAGCCTCGGAGCCTAGATGGACAGCAGATCCAGCCAAGTCACAGCTACCCCTGCAACAACCCTGCCGCCCCTGCAGGTGACCAGTGCGGGAGACCTTGCTAGGCAGTCACCCTGACGGGACACGGCCAGAGCTGCCTGACTCCCAGAGGGACGTGCGCCCCGAGGCAGCAGTGGCCAGCCTGCGACTCCCGAGAGGACAGGGCAGGGCAGTTCATGATCCCCACAGTAACCCTGTGGGAGAGAGCTCACGACACGCCTTCCCCTGCACTGGGAGGAGCCCTGGCCTCACTTGCATTGGTCTGCGGCCCAGCCAAGACCACAGGGAAACATGAAACCCAAGGTCCACGCTACCTGGGGGAGCGGCGAGCCACCCTGGTCATTCTGAGCACAAAAACAAGTGGGGAAGGATCAGTGTGGTTTCCCGAATGTCAAAACAAGAGGATCAGCTTCCTGGATCCTGCCGGAAACGCCCTTGGCTCGCCCCACCGAGCTGGATGCTGGCCGCAGGCTGCCCTGGGGTTCCCAAGTGTGGGTGGCATGGTGGCCGCCAGGGCACACACTTACTGTGAGATGTGGGTGATAGGCACCAGCAGCGTCTCCCCCTCCAGGTCCAGGTCCTCAGCGAAGCTGTTGGTTCGCATGAACTGGGGTGTGCTCACCTCCAGCAGCGTGGGGCTCTTCCTCACTGTGGGATGGACACATAATAGTTAGGCCCCTGTGGAAAGTTCGGTGCTGTGGGCACGGCGTGGGCCCGGGCTGGCTGGAGCTGGCTCAAATTGTCACCCCACTGGCCTCAGACAGACCTGTGCACCTGAGCTGGCACACTAGTGGGTGAGACCCCTGTCCAGCAGAGGGGTGAGGAGCAGACAGCTCAGAGGGTCACCTACGTCTTACGTGAGGGCACTTAACATGGCTCCCAAGTGCCGGAGACCCCATCTGCCTGGAGCAGTGGAGGGCCCCCGCTTGTACTCACGGTGACCCCAGGCCAATGGCACACTAGAGAGGACACGACCCCCACCCATGAGGAGCAAGTATGGGGAGCAGCTACAGAACCCCCAGCCTGACCTTGCTGCAGGCCACAGTGCTACCTCAGTAGCCCAAACTTCAAGGGAGGGGCCAGCATCTCCCTAACAGTGGATATTGGGCCCTGTTCCCCATGATCCTGACACAGGAGCTCTGGGTGGGCACTCAAACTAGGGATCGGTCTCCAACTTCCCATTTGGACTTCTTTTTTCCTTCAGGTAAAGGGTGGATTGAAAAAAGAAGGAAGTGCCCATAAGATGTAAAATGAATAAGGACGACTGAAGAAGAGTTGATGCTTTTGAGTTGTGGTGCTGGTGAAGAATGCCGAAAGTATAATGGACTGCTAAAAGAACTAACAGATCTGTCCTGGAGGAAGTGCAGCCAGAATGCTCCTTGGAAGCGAGAATGGCCAGACTTCACCTCACTGACTTTGGTCATGTTATCAGAAGGGACCACTCCCTGGGGAAGGATGTCATTCTTGGTAGGGTGGAGGGTCGATGAAAGAGGGGAAGGCCCTCAGTGAGATGGACGGACACAGTGGCTGCAATGATGGGCTCAAGTGTAACAAGGACTGTGAGGCTGGCACGGGACTGGGCAGTATTTCATTGCATATGGGGTCGTTGTGAGTCAGAGCCAACTGTGGCACCTAACAACAACAAAAAGAACGTGGAATAACTCAGAGACGTCCTTCCCCAAGGAAGTCAAGATGAGTGTCAGGCCAGAGCCCCTGCTCCAGTGTGCCCTGCTTGCATGTGGTACACACACAGGTGTTGTGTCTTCGTGGGTGTGCTTTACCCTTTGGTCAGCATCTGAGTGTGCAGACAGTCACTTCAGAGACTCCAGGTGGACGGAGTCCAGATGCCAATGCTGCCAGGAGGGGCTTTCACAGCCACTTCTGTCAAGGCTGTTGGGGGGCTTTCGTGGTGAGATACCGTCAGGCAGCAGTGAATAGGCCAGCTTCCCCACCCTCAGGCCCCCTCTACCCTTGGACATCCCGCTGTTGTTTCTGTCTGCCCCCAAGGCTTCCAGTGGGCTCGGCTGCTCCTTAGATTCCCTGTGGAGGTGCCCGCTCCTCTCCTTTGCCCTCTTTGCTGTAGGGTTGGGTGGTGGTGGTGTTTGTAAATTAGAAATATTGACCTTTTGTTATATGAGACGCAAACATCTTCCTAGTCTGTCTGCCTTTTAACCTTAATTACAGTGAAGAGTCAACAAATCAGAAGAAATACAATCAGGATGTTCCTTAGAAGCAAGGATGGCAAGATGTCAACTCGCTTACTTGACATCCGTCCTCAAGAAACACCAGTTGCTACAAAAAGATGACCTGTTTGGTAGAGGGTCAGCAAAAAGGAGGGAGACCCTCCCACCGTGGGATGGACTGACTAAACAGCCGCAGCAGTGAACTCGAACACACCAGCAGCCATGAGGACAGTGCGGGACTGGCTAACATGCTGTTCTACAGGCCAACACAAGTCAGCACCCACTCCAGCTGAGAATGGTCATTAGGTGCTTTATAGTTTTAAAGTGGTATCTCTTTATCCTTTACCCCCAAACAACCCAGTGCTCGTAAATCAGTTCTTCTCAAACATACATATACATCTGCATATATATATATATATGCATATGACCTATAGTATGTTGTTGGCATTTATCCTTAACAATGTTTGAGATCAGCAATAATCCTGAAAAAGAAACCTTGAAAGGTACTGTGTAGAATTTCTGAAAAATCTATAGGAAACTCAAATCTAATATTTTCTGAAAGAAACAGGAGAAAAGTTGTGGGACCTTGGATCCGGTGGTGAGCTTTGGAAACAACATCAGTGTTTCTACAACTACATTGTCATTTCTTACATCTTGATTTATAGGAAAAAATCTGAAGGCCTTACAGCAAAAACCGGTTTCTGAGAGGAGAAGGATTCTGCTAGACTCTCCAGTAAGAGGAAAATACGAGATAACCTGGACTTTACCCAATCCTAACATGTTTGCTCTGAGAAAGATTCGTAAAGAATGTGAAGACAAGCCACGTGAGAAGCCATTTACATGTTACCATCTTCAACCGCCTTGCATCCAGAATAAACAGAAAACCCTTGCAACTTGACAATAAGGAAATAGATAACCCAATTTAAATAAGGATGGAAAACCACATGGGAAGAGGCTCCTCATCACTGTCCTAAGGGAAGTATAAATTACACCATGAGGTACCACTACTCACCTCTTAGAAAGGCTTCAGTTAACAAGAATCAAAACCTGATGACATGAGGACATGTGAGGACGTGGAGCAACTGGAATGCTCCTCTGTTTCAAGTGGGACTAGAAAACGGTGCTGCACCTTGGGGCACGGCTCGGCAATTTCTGATAAAGTTAAACGTAAAACACAACAACAAAACACAGTGCCCCCAGAAGACAGAACTGCCCCACAGGGTTTCCAAGGATGTCTGTCACCTTTAAGGAAGCAGACTGCCTCATCTTTCTTCATGGAGTAGCTGATGGTTTGAACATCCAGTGTTTTGGTTGGCAGCTGTGCACTGTAACCACTGTGCCACTAGGGCTCCTTCAGTGAAACACGCTTATTATATGTGAGGATTAATTGTGTGTGTCAACATGGCTAGGCTGTGGTGCCCAGTTACTGGGCCAAACACTAGTTGCTCTGAAGGTATTTTGTTGCTGTGATTTGTATTTATGATCTGTTGACTCCAAGTAAAGGAGATACCTCTTGGTCATGTGAGTGGGCCTCATCCAACCAGTTGAAGGTCTTAAGAGTCAAAACTGAGGCTTTGGAAAGGAGAAGCATTCTGTCTCAAGACTGGAACACAGAAATCCTGCCAGAGTTTCCAGCCTGCCTTGCCTATGGATTTTGGACTTGCCAGCCCTCACAACTGTGAGAGACAGTTCTTTAAAATCAGTCCGTCCGTCAATCTCTCTCTCTCTCTGGAGAACCTCAACCACTATGCCATATACCTCAGCAGCCCCCCTCCCAGATATCTGCCCACCTGAAATGAACACTGTGTTGACACAGAAACCTGTACATGAATGTTTGTAGCAACTTCACTCACAATTGCCAAAGACCAGAGACAATCAAGACTTCCTTCAACAGGTGAGCAGATGAACAAGCTGTGGTCCACCCAGATGTCCAGCCATACCATGGACCACTGCTCAGCAATCTGAGAAAATGAACTAAGGATTCGTGGAACAACATGCATGACTCTCAAGTGCATTTTGCGGAGAGAAGCCAGATGCAGGACACTCCATGTGGTGGGTTTTCATTTGTGAGACATCCGGGGAAGGTGAAGGGACAGGGGCAGAAGCCAGGCCAGTGGCCAGTGGTTGGGCAGGGGCTGTGGGAGGCATGTTTAGGGTCATGGAGTTGTTCCCCATGATGCCACGGGTGCTGGTCTGACACTGCGCATTTGTCAAACTCCACAGAGCTGCATACTTCCACGACTGAAGTCCACTGTGTGCACCCTGGATACTGGAGGACCCCAGGATGGAAAGCAGACTGTGACATGGAAACCTACCTACATTACAGATGTATGGGATGGCACCCCAAGGATGGGGGAAGACACTGATAAACAAACCCATTGCTGTTGGGTCTGTTCTGCACCACAGTGGCCCTATAGGACAGATGAACTTCTTCAGAGGGTTTCTAAGGCTGGAATCTTTATGGAAGCAGACTGCCACATCTCTCTCCTATGCAGTGGCTGGTGGTTCGAATCACTGACCTTTCTTTTAGCAGCCAGGTACTTAACCACCATGACACCAGTGTTCCTAGGGGGAGAGGAGCTGGCCCAAATTGCCCTGGCGAGGTTTTGACAGGAAGTGTGTGGCTGAGGACAAAAAGCACTGTGCTGAATACTCTGGCTAGTAAATTAGTTTCTCACAGGACACTGCACATACACTGGAATTAAACAAGTAAATTGTAGGTAGTAGGAGCCAGGTCTACTCACTGCTAGGCAAGAAGTTTCTGAATAAGTTGGGGGAGGTGAGAATGAGCCTGGGGTGTTGGGTCAGAGCAGGAGATAGCAGAACACAAATACAACTTTTGGTAGAGACAGACAGACAGAAGGAGAGGAAGACCTGTGTGTCCACACCCACAGTGAACCCCAGTAACAACAGGACACCCAGGGCTCAGAGCTTGGCTTCTAAACAGCATTCTCCAGTACATCCTCTGGAAGAGCAGCTGGTTCTAGAGATTGGGCAGGAAGCACACTGGATGAGTCTGGAGTCTTGTCTCATGCCAGAAAGTGAAAAACACTCAAAAGTAACCAAATGAAAAGAACAAGGGCTTGTCAGAACACACAAACCAACTCGAAAGGGCTCCCAACCCAGTGGCCAAAGCTAGAACCACTTGAGCAACGAAATAAATGAAAGTATTGAATTATAACTGGAGCGGGGGGGGAAATCCCTGAGCCCATATTGATGGAAATAAGTGATTTAATCAGTCAGTCAGTCCTCACTGGAACACCATGTTAGTGACAGCTGTACTTGCAGATGCTAATATTGGGTAAGATGTGTAGGAGTGACTTTGAAGCAGTTCCTCCGGGGTGTTTATTGGTTGCTGTGGTGGTTTTAATATATGCTTCCAGTTCTCTGATGCACCTTCTTCCAAGAAGTGGCGTTTAACTTCTCTTCTCGTGAGTATGGGTTGGACTTGATGTCTTGCTTCAA